GGTGAGACCTGCAATGCTCTATGGCGCTGAATGTTGGCCTTTAAAAGAGAAGTGTAATAATAAGTTAAGTGTTGCCAAGATGAGAATGATTAGGTGGATGAGTAGATTTACACTTAGAGACAAAATGCGGAATGAATATATTCGTGATAGGGTTGGTGTAGCTCCTGTGACAGACAAAATTAGAGAAAGTCGTCTTAGATGGTTTGGTCATATTAAACGTCGACCATTAGATGATCCGATTAGGAGAGTATATGTTTTAAATTCGACTTGTGTTAAAAAAGGCTGAGGTAGACCTAGGAAGACTTGGGCTTATTGTATTAAAAATGATCTTAATTTACTAGAACTAAATGAAAATATGACACTAAATAGGACGCAATGGAGAAAAAGGATTCATGTAGCCGACCCCACGTAGTGGGATTAAGGCTTTGTTGTTGTTGTTGTTGTTGTATATATAAAAATTTTATGATATTTTAAAAAATTAAATTTTATAAATTATAATATATAATAATTATTAATAATAGTATATTAATATACTATATTAGTGATATACTAATATAAATATTATATATTTACATAATATAAGTTATATAATTAATATAATATATTTTTTATATATATTAATATTAGGGATGCCGAACTGGCTCGCCGTTCGTGTTCGGCTCGTATTTGACTCATTTGTTAAGAAACAAACACGAACAGTGACTTCACGAACAATTTCAAATACGAGCTTATTTCAAACAAAATAAATTTTAAACGAACCGAACGCGAGCACAAGCTCTATTCGTTCGTGTTCAGTTTGTTCACACCCCTAAACCTAGGGTTGATTCCTTAAATTAAAATGTCGGTGAAAAAACAAACACAGAAGAAAAAGCATAAAAATGGGAGTTTCGACGGCAATTTGGATGCTCCATCCGCATTGCAGATATTACAAAAGATATTAAATAAAAAATGAAAAAGTGAAAAAAAAAAAGAAGAAGAAGAAAAGCATAAAAATGCGAATTTCGAAATTTCGGATCTCGTCTTCGGCGGGAATTCGTTAATGACGGTTGCTTTAACCCCTTTGACCGAAGACCTTTGCTTCTCCAGCCCGCTGCTCACTTTATTCTATTTAAAGATCTAAAAGAAAAAATAACGAGATTAAGTGGACCAAAAAAGACCTAATTTCGACTGTTATTTACAACCTGCCACTCTCTTTTTTGTCGGTGGATGCAGATAGTTTATTTAAATTTGATATAATTATTCGTACAGCTAGAGCTCTCAAAGCCGTTTGGAGATCGCTAACCGCTCCTGTCGATTCTCTAAGTTAATAAGCTGAACACGAACAACACGAATAAAGTTCGTGTTCGGCTCGTATTGGCTTGAAATATTACTATATATATATATATATATATATTTGATGAGTAGTATTTTTACCAAATATACCTGGAGCTCAGTGGTAACTGGATACTCCACCATATCCACATAGTTCTTATTAATCGACGCCATGATGAGTCTGTCGCACTCCGGCTCCATCCACGTCGTCACGAACGATGCCATATTCAATCTCGGATTCCCATCAAGCATCAACTCAT